GGAAGGGCTCCCTTGCTGTGCTCCGGAGGCGGCTTTCCCGAGGAAGGAGCAGCAGGGATGGAAGGGAATGTATGAGTTAGGACTCGTAGTTCTTGGGAGACGCTAGAAAACGTGCTTGTCTGGATTAGTTACGTACTTTTTCTATCCAAATGCAACATGTGTTCCGAGCAGAGCTCCGCCAAAATCTGCCTCCGCATCTCTTGGAACCCAGGACTTGGGTGCCCAGGCCCCTCGGTGACGTTTCGTTGTTCAGCCTGGGCTTTGGGTCCCGAGCTGTCCTGCCCTGGTGCGGCAGTTGGTGACTGAGTTTGCTCAAACAAGTGTTTTCACCTCTTATTGCTATTATAAACACTTGGAGAACAGGAAGGCACACGAGCAGGTCGATGCTGCTGGTTAGTTATGGAGTGCACAGGTCTTGGGGCTATTGCACGCTTGCCTCGGGTGCCTCTTGTTAATACTGGCTTTTCAAAGTAGGATTGCTAGAAAGTAACATAAAGGTAAACTGGGGAAGGGATTTTGATTGACAAAAGTTTAGTTCCAGCCCAAATGATGGTGAGTTCTAATGCCGTTTAACAAAACGTGTGTAACGGTAAAAATAGACATGCAGCCTTGCAAGGAATAGTAGTGCAAATGTTGTTAACTCCAGCTGTTGGCTGAAACGTGGTCATCTGGATTAGCTGAAGAGTGCTTTTTCTGTCCAAGTCTCTGAAGAAAGATGTCATGCATATGTTACAGGGCTCGCCACGCTTTGTGTGTGTGTGTATTACATCTTTACATGGCAATGTAAAATATTGCTAAGGAATAAGGAGAAATTGGTTGAAAAGAGCAAAGCGATGTCGGTTAAACAACCAAGCCAAAGAACCTTCCTCATATTTGAGGAATGCCACTTGCCCGAACACGGAAACCATCTCTTTATTGCTCGCTGTAGGAGCGGGCCCCGAGTTAATAGATCACAGGTGGTGTCGGGCTTTGCCTTTAGATCTCGTGGCTGGGCGGGATCGTTCCGGATAAGCCCGTGCAATAATTCCTGCATTGGGCCTGTGGTGTGAGAGGTGTTGTATTCCTGTGATAAGATGTTCTGATGAATGATTACTGTACGGCTACGCAACGTAGCCCTTCGGAGACACGGTCCTTAGTCCCTATTGAGCCTCCGGGGACTGCAGGAATACTAAACTGTTTGTCAGACCCTCTTTTTGGGTTCCCATTCATCTATTCCATGTATCTTTTGGACAGAGTGGGCAGAGTTTTCATAGAAAGAGGATTTTTTATTATTACTATTTTATACCAATAACTTGATATTAAGTATGAGATAGTCTGCCAGTGATGAATAGCAGGCAAGCTAAATAATAAACTTTAGATCAGTTCTGTTTAGTTGGAGTAGTCTGGGCATGTTTACTTTCAGAACAGCTTTCCATCTGCTCAATCATTTCAAAAATGGTACTCGGTAGCTTGGTGAAATGGGATATGTGTCCCCATGGCCAGCGGAGCGGAGTGGCAGGGCCCAGGAGTCCTGGAGCCGGTGGTACTTCCTATGCTAACAGGAATGTGTTCAGTAATTGGGTTTTCATGAGAAAGATTTTTATTGATGATCGGGGGATGACAGTGCTGTTGCCTTGGAATAATTTACTTTGCAAATACCCTGTCTGTAAGAAGCCACAGGCAGAGGTTTCTTTCTGAAATAAGTTCACAAATGCTGGGGTCCTCTCTCAGCTTTATGTATCCTTGAAGAGGGGAGAGGACCAAGGTGAAAGTGGTCAGTGCGTGCAGGCTAATGGTGCTCAGCCTTGCAATCAGATCAAGAACTTGATAAGACGTGGACTAGTTTTAATTTCTTCTCATAACTGATAGACTTTCCTCGCATTTTGTCAAAAAACCTGAGTGTTTTGGGGAGCTGAATAACATGCCAGTATCAGTTTTAAAATTGTTTAGAGGAAAGATAATGCTCTTTTCAAAAGAGAAAAATGGTGTTCCCATTTAAACAATTATTTGCTTTAGTATTTAAAGTACAATACTTTTCTGTTAAAAGAAGATCAGCGTCAAAACAAAACACTTCAGAATTACCACGTGTAAATGCTTTGATTTAGCTAAGTCAACCTTAAAAATGATTGCTTTAGTTTGGATTTTTTTTTTTGGTTATTTCAAAGGTATTAATGTTTCAACTCTTCACCCTGCTGCAAGATGGGGAATTTTGCTGGAAATATGAGAGGGCCGGGTTTGCTGTGTTTGTGCAGAGGCAAAAGCGCTTCCTGCTCAGCCCATTTTAGGAGTAAGAAACTAAGGAAATGCCGTTGGTCACTTCAGAAACTCATAAAAGTTTCTGGCTCCCAGCTCCTGCTTTACCTGTTGAACATGCAGACAGCAAATCATTAGCACAAATCTCATGTTTATGTGCATATATATGAGTGTGTTCAGAATATATTTTATTTATATATATGTGTGTGTATAAAGAGTAACAACTGGAACATTATTTTTGCAAGCACACTGTAAGTAAGATAAAAACCTGAGTATTCAGAAATACACAGCTGACTTCACTTGTGAATTAAGAGAGCTAATTATTAATATCTCCTAGCAGCGTGCCAGTGCTAGGTGTCTTTGGGGAAAGATGTGTGTGATAGCACGTATCTGTACAACACAGTCTCTGGCTACGGTGTTTGCTCTTGCCCACAATTACCTACTGTTTTATCACAGCACCTATCTACTACTAGAAGAACGTGCCAAGTAATGTGATCCACGGCTAGTATACCTAAGACAGACGTATCGTACTGGGATACGTTGGTGCTTTACGTCTTCCGCTGCAGTAAAGCACCGGCCGCTGCCCCAAAGGTGGATGAGACCCTGTGCTAGGAAGAGCTATGCTGCAACCGTGTGCTGGCCAAGCAGCTGAACCACGGGAGCCTCAAAGCCCCGTTGCCTTTGCCTTTCTGTGCCCCAGTTCACCTGGGCAAGAAGAGGCTGCAGTGAGGATAAATGTGGAGTACTCAGCAGTGCTCGGGTACTGCAAGAGTCTCAAGAGGCTTACGCAGAAGCTTGAGGTTTTTATCAGCATAAATAGGAAGTGGGATAACAAGTGATACAGAGGCTTCAATGAGAGCCCGTGGCATATAGTCATCCCTAGATGAGATCAGGCTTGCTGCTTTTGACCTTATCTAGCACTTGATTTCCTCGGCTTCCCTGTGTCCGGGGTGCTGACCAGTGTCTCCTGATTCCACTGCACGGCAAGTGCTGATTCATCTTCCAAAAAAAAAAGCAGGAAGTTGCAGCAACGTCGAGAGATAAATAACACCATCATCTTGTCCTCAGCAGAGCCTCGTCCGTGAACACACACAATCTTCAGGTCTGCTGATAGTCCCTCGCTTGAGATGTTCTGTGAAATTTTGGTTGAGTTATACTAATGATCATAACCAAGTCCCATAACCAAGATTTCTATAAATCTCTTCATGATCACAGCTCTGCATCAAATGGGAGGTCAAAAGAGGTGACAAAATAGGTCTCCTTGGACGTTGCGTCTACAAAGTTGCCTCAGAGGGGAGCTATGTTGGTAGAAACTAGGCCTTAAAAGCAATAAGTGCTCAAGTGCAAATCCTCAAAGGATCTTAAGGCTCCTGAATGGAATGGAAGCTATTACTGAAGGAGCAGGGCCTTAGATCCTGTAATGTCGAGAGCAGTGTAAATATTTATCTTTAGGTTTGGAATAACCAGGGCCTGTTGTTGCTCATCTGTGTATAAACAACACAGATGCTATTTTTTAAAATCTCTCTTGGGGAAAAACAAAGTCTGGATTTCAGTCTTGGGAGCAAAACTTATTTCTGGGAAAGCTTCTAATATCAAGAATTTGCGGAGCCCTTCCATGCGAGTGCAGCTTAATGAGCCTCATGGAAATGACATTTTGGGGTCCATACATGGATCTCGACCACCAGCCACTGACTACAGCATGGCTGGGTCTGTCTTGAAATTCCAGATAGCAAAAAAAAAAAAAAAAAAAAAAGGATTTGAAGAAAAAGCAGATGAGGAGGAGGAGGACTTGCAAGGCCACTGCTGCTTTGTGGGAGATGCTTCACCCAGGCTTTTGGCTCAGATTTTCAACTCTTTTTGTGTGTTTTGATGAACACAGACACACAGCCCTGCCTGTCTCTCCTTTCCATGTGCTTCCTGGAGGAAGAGGTAGTAGCCCTGAGCAGATGGAATGGGAGCCTTTGTAGGGAGGTCATGTCCCACACCTGCCTTGCCTTTAACTGAGGTTTAAAACTCCCAGGGAGACTTTGATCCATAGCAAAACTCAAGGTCTGACAAGTTCTTAAGCTTTCCACAATTATTTCTCCCTGATCAGCACTGACTTTTCAGCTTAAGCGACACTGCTAACAGATCTAAAAGCTGAAGTATGTGAGACTCTTTGAAAGCTGCCTCCCAGAATGAAGCAAAATCTGAAAGCAAATCAGAGGCATTTAAAGAACTCCTTAATATATTCTTACCTGCAGCGATTAAATAAACTCTATAAAACATTTCTAGGTGAGCCTGAACTATGTGGTAGGCAACTGCTGTACCACTGGGAAAAGAGAGGTTTCCTTTTCTCTTGCTTTAATTTGTAATGTATTAAAATGAAGACATTCTTACAGGTTAAAGTGTAATTTAAGAAAAAAAATCCTTTGATAAACATGTTCAATGGGATCTCTGCTTTTTTTCCCAGTGAAGGGAAGTTCCCTTCATCTCCTGACCGCTCTGTGGCTGCGATGGAGCTTTCGGCAGCCGCGTGTTCTCTGGTTCTGCTAAAGGACAAGCCCCAGGCAGGTGGCCAGAGGTGGTCCCAGGACCGGGTTTGTGCTGCTGCCCGTCTGACAAAGCCCCGGGTCGGGGCTGGGCCTGTGCTTGGTGCCACCTGCCCCCGCTCATCCAACGGCAGCAGGAGGGACAAAGTCAACGTCATAAAACTCGTGTCCTCCACCTGTGTAATGTCACATGCCGCAGTCATAAAGCTTCAGAACACAATAAAATCCAGGAGTGCAAGAAGAAAATTTACTTCATAAGAGATGGTTCAAATATAAAAGTAATTTTGTTTCAGAAATGGCTTTCCTTTTCCAAGTTTTCTGAGAAGGTCAAAATGCATTTGTCCTCTGTGCAATTTAAAATAAGCTTCATTCTCCTTTTTCTCCCTGCATACTGTCTCCATTTCACCTAATTGATATTTCTTCCGGTAGTAGACAAACATGGGGACACAGTGAGATAAGGACATAAAGGAGGAAAAAAAATTGCATGTACAAGATGTGGGGGAGATGCTAGGATAGAACTCAAAGGGGAAATTGTAGCAAGCAGCAATCTTCACTTGTAGCATTACTGTCCTGGCTCTCCTGTTTCTTCCTTTTCTCTCTTGCCATAGTATAGAATGGGTATATAGATATGTTGTTGAGCTGCAAAAATTTGTTTTCCACATCTAAGCCTCTTTGTGGCAAAGTGTGAAAGTGCTGCCTCATTTGGGTGTTTCAAGCGTCATCATTTTAAGCATTTTGCAGCCAGGCTTTTTCTTTCCCGTGGAAATTCAGTAGTTTTGGCCGTCCGCTCCACACAGCAGCAGGACCCGAGCAGATCCCGGCGCAGGCGGCGCGTGCAGCTCGCAGGGAACACACTTCTTTTAGCAGTGTGGGATTTGGGGGTGTTGAAAATCACGTTTTCAGCTTTCCGTTCGCGCCGCTGGGCGTGCGGCGTGCCCGGGGCAGGCAGCGTGCCTGGGGCAGGCAGCGTGCCCGCGCTTCCAGAGGCGCCCTGCGCGCTTTGCCGGGATAAGCACGTGGCTTTCGCAGCCGCCCCAGCCCATCTGCTTTTTTTAAGTCTCTGGAGGTTTTTGGCTTCCCAACATCGCAGGGAAACCTTTTGCGTTGTGAAGAGGGGAAGGGAAGAGCAAATAGTGGAAAGGGGAGGCGAGGGCAGAGGAGCCTGTTTCTTGGTTATGACACCTGCAAAATGCTAAGCTGTCTATTACAGGCCATGAACTCTTTCAAGGTCTTTTTGATCCCTTAAACTAAACTGGTAAAGATACGTTTAGTGTTGCAGAAGAAAGTTCAGAGCCCTGCAGGGTGCCCTTCACTGCTGTACTTAAGTATTGCAGTGAATTTTGTAAACGGAAAAAAAAAGAGTTTTCTTGTTATCATTTGTGTGGGTCACACTGTAGTATAAACACTCGTGTCCTTTCAGCCCCACCTTTTCCCAAGGAATATTGCTGTGGTATTGCTGGAGGCAATGTCATTATTGCTTGCCCTCCTTTAAAGAAAAAAAATAATTGTGAAATTGGGTGAAGGAACCGGGTTGTGCAAGAGGCGCTCGGGATTAACGAAGCATCCTCCTCCCTCTGTGCCAAAGGGTGAAACGGCTCCTCTGGAAACTCAAAGCAACCATCTTGCTCTCCAGAAACTGCGGATTTCTAGTAGCCCTTTAGGAGCTTGTGCAGTGCTCATTATTTTTTGTGTGTGTGTTTCAAAATTGCTGGAGTTTGTGCTGAAGAGTTTGCTTGGAGGGAGGAGGAGCTGCAAAAGGGCTGGGAGAAACCCATGGTGGCTTGTTTTGCCAGGCTGTGCAATACAGTTTATTGACAGGATATCTGCCATCGCTAGCAGCAGCAGGAGGGTGGGAGGACTTCTCCGCACTTAAATTCTCCCTGTCAGGTTCGTTCACAAGAGATCCCCTTTCGCTGTGTAGTTATTGCAGGGAGGAGCTGATACTTTCATTTATTCACTTCCCTGCCTTCTGCCCCTGCTCGCACCTCCCGTCTGCTTTCCAGTCTCTTCCCATCTTGGCTAACCTGTCAGCTTGTGATAAGGGCAGGGAATCCATGGAAGGGCACGTGTTAACCCTGGGTGTTGTGTGAAGGGCACTCGCGTAGCGGCCTTCACGTTCCCGGCAGATAAAGCGCGGATTTGCCTTGCCGTGGGCTTCCCCGGTTCTTTTCACACCCCGGTTGTCTTGGAGGGCAGCACGTGTTGGTTCAGCCCTTCAATGCATGTTCGAGACTGCAGGAGTTCCAGCTGGAAACCCCGTGTTTTGGGCTGGCAAGGAGCAGCTTGGCAGGACTGGCCAAGGGACCCGGCGCGAGGCACCGCGGGGCTCCTGGAGCAGGTGAGGAGCTGGTCAAGACTCGTCACCAAGCCCAGGACCACAGCTGGCCTTTCCCAGGGGGTTCTCTGAACATCAGCCTGGGTTCGGAACAGGAACACAGAGGAATTTCCTATTTTTCAGCCTAGCTTTGGGTTTTCGGTTTGTTCCTGTTTCTTTCAAGGCTGTGGAAGGGATGATGTGTAAGAAACTCCCCTCACACTGTGTTTTCCTCCTGCTTCATTTCTGGGCATCGTCAGCTTTAAGCATGGCCTTTTTCAAAGCAGTTTTCTTTCCCCGAGGGGAAGGTGAGACAGAAAGTCATGTTTACTGAATATCTCCCCTTAAATTAAGATCATGCATTTAAATCTGGTCATATAAACCCAAGGCCTACTGTGCCTGATGGGTTCTTGCCAGGAGGGCTCTGTTAATCCAGGGACGGTGACTGGAAAGCTGGGTATGATTCAAAGCAGCTGCAAGGGGCAGTGTCAACGATGCTCTGAGCTGGTCAGCAGAAAACCCCACTAATCTGCAGTCTCCAGAGGATCCCTGCTCTGCTTTGAAGCTGTAACAAGCACTTCTAGTCCCTTTTCCCATGGATGTCTTCATTGCATCTGTGTTATTCCCAGGATGAGAAAACCCTGTGGCCAGGGGTTGCTTTTCCAGCAATGCTGCATCTCACAGCAGCCCCTTCCAGCGCCTGCGACACTGACCCCACGGAGGTGCCAGCAGCTCTGCCAATGGGCACAGCAGATACCGGGGCTGGGCAGGGGACGTGGGGTTTCCTAATGGGCTCTTGGAGCCCCTCTGCAAAACACGGCTGTTAATTATGGCCCTATGGGCTTTGCTTGCGGGATAGCAAGCTGAGAGCAACGTAGCGAGCCCAAAGAAATCCCTCAAACCAGCTCCTGCCTGTGCTCATCCTCAGGCAGAAGGGGTGCAGGAAGCATTTAACATTTCTGCCTGCCAGAGCTGAATTCGGACAGCAGAGCCAGATCAAATCAGAGCTTTACAGATATGAATCAGAACTGGGTCGCCCTTGGCCATTGCTTCTTGCTCGCGCTCTCCGGGATGGAGCGTCATTGCGTGGCTGCTGGATCCGAGGCAGTTTAGTAACGCGTAACGACGTCGGCTGAGCCTGGATAGGCTGCGCGGAGACTTTGCAGCGTATCCAGGCTCCAAGCGAGGTATTCAGAGCTGGAGCAGATGTTGGAATAGATGTCATTAGTGTGCTGAGCTACAGTACAGCCGTGAACTGGAACCGCCAACTCTCTGAAAATAAAACAAGTTCAGTAAAAAAAAAAAAAAAAAAAAAAAAGTGATAAGAAACAGCTTTCAGGTGTCCAGATGGAAATCATGTAGCACAGTCCCTGGTACTGGGTGCAGGGCCCGGCAGCATCGTTTGCTACAGCGGTGGAGTTTGGGGGAGAGCAGCAGTGTGTACAAAAGCACGGGACTGAAAGCTTTGGGCACTGGGTCTTGCAACAGGAACCCTCCGTGGTGCTCGGGGATGCTCTGGAAACGCTGCCTCTCTGCAAAGGGGCCTTTCTGCAGAAACGGGTCTGTTCCAGGAAAATTTGTGTGGACCTGGGAGACGCTACCAAAATAGCCTGGAGTCGGGACGGTTGTCCCGGCTGTGAGAGCCGAGTGCGAGTGTCTGCCGCAGCCCGGAGCGGCCGTCGCAGCCGCCGTCTTGGCTGGTTGTCGAGCGAGTGCTGCTTCCTGCGCCTTGAGGTAACTTTTGAAACGTTCCACTTTCAGGGATCACTTCGAAACACATTTCAAAATCTTTTTGTGCTTCTTGGGACAGAATTTTTGTTTTCTGGCCAGAAAAGTTCAGAAATGCAAGTCCTTTGCCTTGTTTAAATAAGAGTTAATGAAAACCTTTAAATGGCTTGGCAGCCGTACAGTCTGTGTCTGGGATAAAACAGTCAGATTGTGTTTGGTCTGGAGTGAATGGACATCTGGGGCACTTTCTAGGTGGCTGTCAGACAGAAAGCCATTTCTGGACATATTGGCCTTCTCCCCCCATAACATTTCCCCTAAGTTAAACAGAGTGTTTGCTTTATTTTGTGGCCAGTTTTCACTGTTCTTCCTCACCTTTCCTTTTCCCAGAGTTTTTCTTCCAGCAAGCAAAAGGAGGGGGGATGTAATCAGACTCAAGATATTGCTAAGCCACATATAATGTAAAGAGGAAATGAGCATTTTGTTGAGTAAATGATAGCAGATAACTTCAGAGCTGAGGGCAGTAGATGACTCCACAGCTCCAAACATCTAGAGAGCATCTGCGGCCCCCGGCATGGGGGTGGCTGAGCAAACTGGTCAAGTTAGAGATGCTGAAATGTTTTGATGATGAGCCAAGAGCGGGTGCTCCTTAAATGTTATCGTACTCTCAGCTACCAGAGATCTCCTCAATGAGGAAAACACAGAAATAGTTTGAAAATGAGGTTGGTTTAGTCATGATCTGTATTTGAACTGCAGTAAATGCCTCTGTATTCTTGATTCATGACTGAGGTTGATGTGGCGAAACCAGTTTGAATAAACGGGAATGTTTTTGTCCTCTTGTGCCGCGCTGGTGGCTCACGTCAGACCTCGGATGGAGGATCCAGTGTTTCCCAGCTGGCTGGTGTGAGCTCCGTGGCATTAAGGGGGCAGCTCAGCTGCAGTTCATGGGTTTGTGCCATGCGCCACTTCCAAAGGGCTCTGCCAGGCCAGAACTGTCAGTTTGGCCAAACCAGAGTGCGATGTGCCAGGTCTTGTGGCTTCATTATAGCTCAGGGCACTATTGGGTCTTGCCCAGGCTAACCTGGTGGTGCTCGTCCTTTCAGACAGGTTGAGATTGAAGGACTCCAAGTGGATTGTGGCCCTTCAGTTGTCATAAAATCAGCTATTACTTTCAGCATCAGGTCTTTTCTGCATTGATAAAAATGTGACTAAAACTATTTCTGCAGAATTTCATGTTTAGAGGAGTAGTCATTAATTTATAGAGAGTGGGGAGAAGTGGTTTGACATAACTGAAACAGACCTCAATGAAGAGCTCACATCCAAAAGTAATTAGATACAAGCAACAGATTCTAGTACGTGATAAGGAATATGTGGCTATGCCTTAGTTTTATCATGCTTGTTAATAACTCTACAAGATAATTTAACATTTCCTGCAAGTAAGTACTTATCTGCGACATTTGAGGTGACACATCAGATGGTGACATGTAAGTTGTGAATTTGCAGCAAGTTTGCTAAAAGAAGGCCCCTTTAATGAAATTTCTGTTTCAGTATGAACTCGTGTAACCATATGCTTGCAGATGGTGCAGTCAAATCCTAGGTAAAAGTTGCACGTGAGAGCCCTGGTGTCCAGGCTTGCACATGGAAACCTTGGAATGTTTGCAAGAAAACCCGTATTCTTCCATGCGTGCAAAATGCATTCCCTGTACCTTTGTTTACAGTGGGGGAGTAATTACAGTGGGAGGCATGGAAGAAGGTCAAAATCCTAATCATAAACGCAGGGTTTTTTTTTTTTTTACTTCAGGTCAACAGATGGTTGATCTAAATGAATTGTTTTCGCCAATGTTTGACAGGGTGGTTGAAGTTCTCAAGTCAAGGATGTTGCAGCAAGAGCTTCGTTTAACAGTTGTGCTCCAGGCTGGGAATGCCTGGGAAGTGCTGGAGTCTCAGCAGCTGCAGCCGGCCCCAGCAGAGGCTCGGGAGCCACAACAAGTAGCGCCAGCCCCGAGGTGATGGTTGATCTAAATGAATTGTTTTCGCCAATGTTTGACAGGGTGGTTGAAGTTCTCAAGTCAAGGATGTTGCAGCAAGAGCTTCGTTTAACAGTTGTGCTCCAGGCTGGGAATGCCTGGGAAGTGCTGGAGTCTCAGCAGCTGCAGCCGGCCCCAGCAGAGGCTCGGGAGCCACAACAAGTAGCGCCAGCCCCGAGGTGCAGGAGGGCAGGAGTGTGTTCTGGTTTTTCTCCCCAGTATTTTTAAACTATTCTCAGCCCTTTTACTTCAGTAGGTTAACCACAAGTGCTCAACGTAGACATTTTCAGGAAGCCCTTGCTGAGGCCCAGTGATATTTGCTAACTCCAGCAGAATCTGGATGTAACTTCTTCCAGTTGGCAGAGCTGCTGCCTCTCTGTTAATAAATACGGGTCTCATCTCTTTTCCAGGATTCTAATATTTCGATACACACCGATAACCCAGACCTGACACCATGTTTCCAGAATACAATCCTAGCGTGGATCCCCAGCATTTATTTATGGACTGCCTTACCCTTTTATCTTCTCTACCTGAAGCACTCTAAAAGAGGATACATCATACTGTCCGTGCTGAGCAGGTTCAAGACGGTAAGATTTTTCTGCGATTCTGTCTATTTTGAGTTCAGGGATGTTAATACAGTAGCAAAGCAAGTGCTATGCTAGGGTTTAAATAAAACTCCCTCGCATTTTGGGGAGAACTGAAGAACTTGCTTGTAGAGAAGAGCAAACATACACACAGATTTCCGAGGTCCTGAAAGCTAGCTCGTGGCTCAGGGCATCCACAGTGACTTCCACCCCAAGTCTTGCTGATGGGCATCTTGAACTGCTGTTTTCCTATGTGGTGTTGGAAAGTGTAACTCGAAGGATAGGGCAGTATGATTTCTCTACAAGTTTATAAAACAATCCTCTCCCTCTTAGACTTGAATTTTAGAAACAAAAACTGCCATTAGGAATTTGAAGACTAATAGTTAAATCAAGCAATATTAGAAAACTCTCATTCAATGCAAAATATGACAATGAGCTAGTTAAGTAGCTTTTAATGAGACTCTTTGCGCACCATTCAGGAGCTGCCTTCTGAGATCCATTAAGCCCAATAAGCTCCATTTATCATTTTTCCTCTCCTCCTTGTGTTAAATGTAGGTGCTGCCAGCTGTTACTTTCCCTCCTCTTCCCCTTTCCAAGGCACACAGCTAGAGCTTGCATTATGATTTGATACACAAAAGGTGGAAAGGAAAGTAAGAAACAGCTGGTGGAGAGAGATTAAGACTTGTGGAAAGCCAGTGCAGTGTCCACGATGTTGCTATTTTTATGAGTGATATTGACACTATTTTGCACTGCTTGAGATTGGCAATGTGCAAAGGCCATGCAACTGCTCCTCTGCCCCTCACAAAGCAGCTTACTGTAGGACTGGCTTGGAAATGATCAGACTTGGGTTTTAATCCTAACAGTTTTATGGTTCTTTTTACCCATCTTCCAATCCAAAGATACCGAGGGGTCATACTTTTTTTCTTCTGCAACCACAAGGAATTTAGAAACTGCTGGAATTCTCATGTATTTGAAGTGACTTGTGATGCAGAGAAAATCAGATGATGTCAGGAAACTTGCAGTAAATTTTTCTTGATCTGTGAGCACAGCTTTCTGGGTCAAGAGAGGAGTTTATTGCTCTGCAGAAGGAAACACAGCCCTTTGTCCAGCCAATACCGTGCTCCTTTTGAGCTTCAGGCCACTTAAATCAGCAGAGCAGCTGAGTCTCAGCTCCCCGGCAGGGAGTGTTTGCAGCCCCCTTGCAAAGTGTTGGAGAGCAGTGGGGTAGTTCACAGCTGACCACCATAACAGGGTTGTTCTGTTTGCACAGCTCAGCTTTGTCCTGCTGGAAACCTGTGAATTACAACTCCTTGGCAGCTCCGGTTGCCCTAGAGATGAGTTCACCAGATGCTTTTTCTGTTTGACTCTGTTTTCAGGTGGCGGGTGTCCTGCTGTGGGGTGTGAGCTGGGCAGATCTCTTCTACTCTTTCCATGAGGTCCTGCAAAACAGACCCGTGCCGCCGGTCTACTTCGTCACCCCCCTGATCGTCGGCATCACGATGGTCAGTAGCGGTTTCTGTTTATTGTGACTTGTAGAAATAGCTCTTCCTTAGAGGCACAAAGGGGAAACCCAGTTCTTGTTCCTTCATTGCCACATCCTGTACTTTTTTTTTTTTTTTTTTTTTGACTGAATGGTTAGTACCTGGAGAACTGAAACAAATTTTGCTTACTGAAGAGGCCACAATTACAAATGTCTCTCTCACATAGCTTTAGCTATGTGTGTTTTAAATCTATGTGATAGAGGGGTTCTTCTGCCTCAACTTCCTACCAGCCGTTTCTCCAGGCTCGTGACCCAGGTGTGGAGAACATTTGGGTATGACTTTGCCTAACCTGGGAGACAGTGTAGAGCACAGCCTGTGCATTGTTTGGTGCTGCTTCGGACTCTGTCAGACAGCATCTCTTATCTAGGGGTTGTTCCTCTGTAAAGCAGAAACAAAATTTGCTTTGCCCAAGGTGCCAAACAGGCTCAGGGCTGTTGTGTGAAAAACGAAGTGTTCAAACTTGCCCGCTGAGCTTTTAAGTCCCTATGTAAAAGATAAATAGATAGATAGATCTCTGTATGTATATGTAATGCTGTTTTGTAGATGAAAAGTGATTGCCCAGCTGAACAGGAGAAGCTTGTTCTGTTTCTGTTTAAGATGCTTGTAGCTAATATGTCCTGTGTACAAAGTCTAGTTTAAAAGCTGAGTTTCCAGAGCAGAGGCTCTGAAAACAGTAGAAACAACTTACTAGGTAAAGCTGTTCCCTGCTTCCCTTAGATAGAAGAAGGTTTGCTGTTGACTTCTGTGTAGGGATGAAGGGGCCTCATTTCAAACCACCCCTGTTATTGGCGACGGCTGTCAACAGAAAGCACAAGTAAGGGGGATTGTGCTCACCTGTTCTGTGTTTTCCCTCTGCAGCTCTTAGCAACCTTACTTATTCAGTACGAAAGGCTGAAAGGAGTGCAGTCCTCTGGAGTCCTCATTATCTTCTGGTTTGTGTCTCTGCTTTGCGCCGTGGGGCCTTTGCGGTCCAAGATCATGACTACAGCACAGGTAACCTCCCATGCTAGTTAGCACTTGGAGAACAGGAAGTGTTGCATTAACTTGGCTTCGAGGGGAATGAATCACCTAGTTTGGAGTCTGGTCTGAACATGGCTTTTGCCGGAGAGAAGGCAAAGTATGGCCTCGTTGCCTTGACTCACCCTTGTTTAGCTTGAAAGTTGCTGGGGTTTCTCTTGCAATGTATAAAAACAGATTTTGCTTAGCCTGAGGCTATATTGAAACCCTGATGGATATCTGGAGGCTTGTAGCAACACTGTATATTAGAATGGACGTGGTGTAATGCCTAATGTCCCTTCCTAGCGCAGGCAGCTTGGCCACATTGTACAACTGCAAATACTCTCCTTAGTCTGGTACCAAGGTGGCGAGGACAGTATTTTGATTCCTACTGTAGCTGTAAATAGAGCAAAGAAAGGTGGAAAGAAACCTGGTTGTTGTGATTCCTGTTTGAGAACATAGCACCATCTCCCACAGTAAGAAAGTTGTTAAGTTTTCCACTGAAGGAAATTTTGCTATTACAAAGTAGGGCAAAGCAGGTTGCTTCACTGATTAGTTCATCAAAGGCTGGGAGTGAAGAATGATATTTGAAAACCATTAAGGTGATAGTTTTGCATCATCAAAATCAGTGTTGATTCTGCTTGGTGATTTCTTTTTATATTTTTTTATAACTGTTAGCAGCATTATCCTTTTACCATGACTCTTGCTATGCCAGGAGGTTATAAAAGTTCCAGCAAAGCCTGAATTAAGCCCTAAATAACAGTCAGTGCAGTGCTCCTTCAGATAATAGCTGCAATCATAATGAGATTGTCTTCTACGTTACCTGATATCAATTTAAAGTACACTACCACTGAAATATTAAGCTATTAAAGATTGAATCCTGAAGTAACTTAAAATTATGGGCACAGAGTTTTAGAGTTAGAATGGGTGTGGGCAATGTTGCTTTTGCTCTTGAACTTCCAAGGACTAAATAATCCGTTTCTCCTGCTCTTAAGGATTAAACATTTAATGTCAGCAATGAGAGCATTCACAAATGCCTTAGGGGTATAAAAGAGCTGTTTAAGGGACATTCTCTTCACAGCAAGAAGCCTTAAGTCAACCACAGACTTAGTGGAGCAGGAAAGGAAATCTCTATAGAGCAGGTTGTGCTGTAGTTATCCAATGCAATGTTTTCTTGCAGCTTCTTCTCCAAGCGTTTCACGCTGACTGCTGTCAGTGACAAAAATACTAAACCAAATGGATGTTCTCTGATCTGGGTTGACAATTCCTATGCTAAAGACATGTTCTTGTGAGAGCCCCTGGAGGTGGTTTGAAAGGATGTCATGTAGCTGGTTCCAGAGGGTGTCTGTGTGCAGCTAAGATGCAGAAGCACTTTGATGTCGACAGAATCTCATCAAAAGCTTGGAGAGGAGCCTGTTCTTAGGCGCTCTCCTGAGTAGTGCCTACATTGGCAAGATAGTTCCTGCTAGCAGCTGCTATGCAATATTGAACTGTAGAGGAAGAAAGGAATTGCCAAAAAGAAGCTGAAAACATGAGGATATAGAGGAAGAGGGGGGAAAAAGTGAATGATAAAAACAGCCATTTACTCTGTGTGTCTGTGTGTGTGTTTAATTTTTTTTTTCCTATCTCTCTCTACCCCTAGGGCCAGGTAAATGACAGGTTCAGGTTTACCACATTTTACATCTACTTTGCCTTGGTAATCATTGAGCTGATCCTTTCGTGTTTTAAAGAAAAGCCTCCATTTTTTTCTCCTGTTAATACAGATCCTGTAAGTATTTTTCCTGTGCTTTATTTGCATTTTACAGACTTGTGTGTCAGCTCCACTGAGAACACTCAGCAGTGAAACTGGCTTTGGAGTGTCACTGAGACTGCAGGTGTGACAGTGACTCCATTAAGAAACACTGGGCCATGGGGAGTAGTATTTGAGTTTGGAGTCTTTTTGCCTTATATGTGCTGTCAGTAATGACTGAAAGCTGTGTGTTTAAAAACAACTCTCCTCCTTGCTGCTTCACAATAATTTGATTTTTGGAGGAGGTCACCTTGTGCTTGCTTAAAATTCACTTAGAGTTGCCTAAAATCTGTCAGGATGGACTTAGTAAACCATTCTGTATGTATTGAGAACAGGTATGGAGAAACATTAATAACAGAAGATATTAGTGGTGCCACAACTTAAATTTCTTCTCCAGTTCATAAAATGATCTTTATAATTGAGTTTATGTTTGAACTGAACTGAGAGAGCAGTCAAGTTCATTTCTTAAATGAACATTTCAAAAACTTTAGAATGATATCTCACTTTGTGTAAGTATGATTTAAAGGCAATATGTGCAGCAATTGTTAAAGAATAGAGTTCTGTGTGAGATAGGAAATGAAGGAATGTAATTTTATGTGCTGTTAATACATAGGTGCATACGTTATTCTCAATAATATACCAATACTGATCAAAGTAGACTGTGTTCTTATTAAAGTGTCTTATTCCAAATAATATATTTTTTTTAACTTTACCATAGAATCCATGTCCGGAGTTAACTTCAGGCTTTCTCTCAAGATTGACCTTCTGGTGGTTTACAAGGTGAGCTTCACTTTTTAAGCTTTTGGGTAGCTGCGAGTCCTGGGCTCTCCCTGGGATGTGTGTTGTTCAGGATCACCCAGACAGGGAGTCTTTTAGCCCCAAGTAGTCAATGCTGGACTCTCTTTCGCCAAGGGGGTGTCAGCGCTTTTAGCAGTTGTATTTTTTACGAGCCGCTTTCCAAGTGCTCAGACCATCCAAGCAACCTCTTGGAAAAGTAGAGGTCACAACTTTATCAGGGCTGTGCGTTCTGCCTACCATGAGCTGGAAAATCACCTCAAACATGATGCAAGAGTGTGTTTCACAACACAGTTAACAGTGGCAACCTCTGACCCACCTGAGGATGCGGTTTGTTTCCTGTTGAGCTTCTTGGGTGAATGCTTTTCATAAAGAGCTTTCCTTTGTGAAAGGGAAAGTGAACTGAATCATTTAGGTGAACGGTTACCTGCCCCTGACGCTGCTGTTGTACGGTTTGTGTGTGAAAAGTGCAAACTTGGAACTGGGGTTTCCTTCACTCTGTGCTAAAGACAGTTGTGAAAGCTCATGTTAAGACACACTTTTTTTCAATAATTGTTGAAGGTTTTGAGATCTTCATTTTTCTATCCATATAATTTTATTACTGTGATAATAACCCCATAAAGCAATTTGCAGTGAGATCTTTCTAAACTCCAGTGGTTTTGGATGTTCAGTTTCCATGTAGAGATTAATTGCAACTAGGTGTTTGAGTCGCTTGGCAAAATTTCATTTCTTGTTGAGTAATAGTTTTCATTTCAAATACAGTTTTCATTTACCTGCGGAGAGAAATCTGATTTTTCTTTAACTCCTGTGGACTTCATGTCTGTATTTTGTTCATCCCTGACAGTTGGTTCAGATCAGCTTAGTTATTCTCACTTCTAAACATCTCACTGTTCTCATAAAATAGCACAGCTTCATTCAAATCCTTCTGAAATTTGTTTTTATTGGTCTTTTTTTCTGAAATCATGTTTTCAATAAAGTGCATCCAATCTAAATTACATGGCATCCTTTCTTTAATTCCAGATTTGAAAATAAAGAATAAAGAGAAATGGAGATGTAGTTATTGTTCTTTCTGTAGAGATGGATCTCCTTGCTTCTGTCATCTAACTAGTCCCAGAGTTGCTATTAGTGCCTTATGTGCCATTAGCCAGCCTGAGTTGTGCTGTTTTTCTCCATATGCAGCATGGCAATTGTTGGTTACAAGAGACCCCTTGAAGCTAAAGATTTATGGTCACTGAATGAAGATGATACTGCCAGAAAAATTGTGGAGCATCTAAGTAAGGAGTGGGACAGAGAGAAAGCGGAGTGGAAACAGTAAGTGTGTGCACAAGGCAGCAAGCGGCGCGCGATCTCCAAGTCATCCCGCTGCCCCTGAGCCATT